GCCCCCAGCATGCCTGCGGCTCCCTCCCCTCCTCTCCAGGGACACCCGAGGGCCAAAGGCGAGGAGGCAGGAGGCTGGGGGTCAGGGCTGAGCGCTGCCAGACCCGCCAGGGGTCCCTTCCTTGAGGTCTGAGGCCTGGCGGCCTGCGGCCCTCCCCAGACCTCCTACAGGAGCCCCGAAAGCCCCGCGCTGGGCTGAGACCAGGCCTTTGCCTCCCACCCCTCAGCCCCAGCTTGGAAGTGCCCAGGGGAGGTGAGGAGGGCCCTGATCAGGGGAGGGCACCCAGGGTCCTCTTCTGAGCCGAGCAGGCGCACCGGGCCTTGCCCTCCCAGGGTCACTTGGTAGAGAGGGAGCAGCACGAGGAGCCCCTGACCCTCCTCCTAGGGCACAGGAGCTGTCAGAGCACCTGAGAGCCCAGCCCTGAGGGCCACCGGTGTGGGACAGTCTGCCCAAGGGGCGGTGTCCAGCTCAGGGCAGGCAGTGCCCAGGAGCCCTGCTGTGGCCCAGGCAGTGGCAGCTGGCTGCGGTGGGGGCCGGGTAAGCCGTGGAGAGCCATGGCTGGCCTGAGCAGGCCCTGAGAGCCAATGGCAAGTGTCCTGACCCATGAGAAATTGAGGGTCGGACAGGCCCAGGAGGGCGAGGGTAAGCGCCTGGCTCTGGGGCCTGCCTGCAGCCCTGCCCTGCAGCTTCAGCCTCAGTGGGGGGAGGTGGGTGGTGTCCCTCCTGGCGTCCCAGGACTAGTGGGACCCCAGAAGCTGCCAGGCCCTTGTCAGAGGCTGCACACCGCTGCCACGGCCTCCCGGCCAGCCCCCAGAGCTGCACACCCCTCCAGGCCCAGGGGCTGCGGGCACAGCTGAGTGAGAACCAGGAAGCACTGGCTGACCTGCACCGGGAGCTGCAGGGCAGTGAGGAGAGCCGCGAGGGGCTGCACAGGGAGCTGCTGGAGGCCCGCCGGGCACTGGACAACGAGGCCCGCAAGAAGGAGGAGCTGCAGTGGTAAAACACCGTGCTGCGGGCTGCCATCCACACAGCCGGGCAGGAGAAGGCCAGGTACAGCCCTGAAGAGCGGCTGTGGGGAGCCCGCCGGGAGCCTGCCCCCAGGGAGGCTTGGTGGGCAGACACAACGCAGGCACCCTAAGGAGTCGGGCCAGGTCATCAGGCAGACCAGCTGCCCAGGCCAGAGCTCCACAGGGCTGCCCACAGGGGCTGGCACAGACAGACCGGCCACTGCCCTTGGGGCATCCCTGCCCCGTAGGCCCGGCAGGCCCAGGGACCCACAGGGCTAGGAGGAGCAGAGGGAGGCCCAGGGCCTGGGGGACTCTGGGAAGGGCCCTGGAGGACAGCCAGACTGCACTCTGAGGCACAACGAGGACTGGGGGAACCAGGCCAAAAGGGCAGCAGCGGGCCATGGCTGCGCTACGCCGCTGGGCCTGTCGGACCTGGGACTCGTGAGTCTGAGAGGTGATGGCGGTCGCTGGAGCTGGGCGTGAGGACACCATGTGGGGTCAAGACGGGAGGCAGAGGCCAGGGCAGCTGGGATGGTCACACATCAGGGACACGCTAGCCCGCACTGACCCAGCATGGTCTCCTCCTCAGCCTCAGGCGGTCCAGGGAGGAGATGGAGCAGAAGCAGCCGCCCCTGCAGGAGGCCTGTGCCGCAGGGTGGGAGGCGTGCGGGCTGCAGGCCCGCCTGCGGGAGCTGGAGCAGGTGCGGGCAGACGCTGCCCAGGAGCTCCGGGAACACCGCAGACAGGTGAGGGCCCGACGGCCACCCTGTGCCAAAGGACACCCTCAAGCCCCCCATGGTCCCCACATCCACCAGGCTCCGGGGGCACACGCGACCGCCCAGACTTGACCCCTCAGACAGGCCCACGTCCTACACAGATGCAGGGGTCCAGGCTGAGTCTGCCCCTGGGCACAGGTGACAAGCCAGAATGGGGGGGGGGGGGGCACTGCGGCTTAGAGGCTAAGTGGCGTGCAGCCACACAGGAAGCTCCCGCCCCACGGCGCAGTCCAGAGCCCTCCCCTCACTCTCCGTCAGGAGCGCAGCCAGGTATGCAGGGGCCGCTCTGCCAGCACCGGCCGCCCCG